CCCCCCCCCCCCCCCCCCCGTGCTGAGCGTACCACTCACGAAGCTCCTGGGGCGACGGAGAGTGCTGCAGGCTCTGGCCACCGCCAGTGCCTCCACGACCACCACCGCCGCCGCGACCTCCTCGACCACCTCCTCCCCTGCCGCCGCCGCGTCCACCGCCGCCCCCACCACCGCCCCCGCCCCTGCCACCGCCCCCGCCGCTGCCGCCACCACCCCCACCGCTGCCACTAGCCCCACCAGTCCCACCACCACCCCCACCGCCGCCACCACCCCCACCACCGCCTCCCCCGCCGTCACCTCCGCCTCCCTTGCCCCCTTTGCCCTTGCCGCTGCGGCGCCCGCTCGAGGCAGACGCAGCCCCTACCTTCTCAGAACCAAGGAGGTCAACAGCAGAAGCAGAGGCTACAGAGGGAAGAAGGGGGGAAGGGGAACACCCCTCAAAGAAAGGGGTGCGGGGGTCGCCACGAGAGGCACCTACAACGACTATGCTAGCCTCAGCTGCAAGCAGTTCCTTCTCGAGGAGGGCAATGGTGAGCTCAGTGGGGCAGCGAGCTAGGAAGTGATCTCTGACAACACGCAGAGTGTCAGGGAGGCGGGTGACTAGGTGGTAGAGAGTGAGCCAGAGCGGGGGAGGGTTCTTGGCAAGAAACTCATCGGGCATGGCGGCACGGAAGCGGGCCTCACTAGTACGGAGGTGCGTGATGAGGTCAGCGACTGTGTGGAACGAGGCCAGGTCGGGAAACAGGTAGGGAGTGAGAGACGGCCTAGCGCGGCAGAGGCAGGTGAGGAGTAGCGGGCAACGACAGTGGTGTACAGTGCGTGTGCAGTCTTGTGCTGGCCAAAGTGCTCGCGCTCGTCTATCGGCAAGGAGTTGCTAATAGCGAAGCGAGCGTGGGCGTCACGAGTCTGCCACTGTGAGCGGGCAGTGCTGTCAGCAGTAGCAGCAGGAGCAGTAGCATGGCCTAGGGCGTGATCGTACAGTGAGATGTCCTCCTTGGCAGTGAGCTGTAGGAAGAGGTGTAGGTCATCTAGCCAGGTATCGAACCTCACTGGGCGGCCCTCAGCATCAAAAGCTAGCACAGGAGGGCTAGCCATAGCAGCAGTAGAGTAGCAGTAGTAGCAGTAGGTGCACCCTGAAAACAGTAGGCATGGCGACTCAGGTAGGGCGGCTCGGTCTAGTACGGGCGGCGCGGCTCGGTTCAGGTAGGGCGGCTCGGCTCGGGTAGGGCGGCGCGGCTGGGTTCGGGCGGCGCGGCTCGGTTCGGGCTGGGCGGCTCGGTTCGGGCGGCTCGGTTTGGGCTGGGCGGCTCGGTTTGGGCTGCTCGGTTCGGGCGGCTCGTTCTGGCGGGGCCGTGGGTGTCGCGGCGGGGTGCTAAGGGGCGGCGCGCGAGTCGAGAGGGGGCCGACGGGGCCTCTAAGGGGGGTCGCGCGTGGGGTCGACGGGGCCAGCGGGGCCGCTAAGGGGTGGCTCGTGGGGTCAACGGGGCCGGCTGGGGCCTCTAAGGGGGGCGACGCGCGGGGTCGACGGGGCCAGCGGGGCCGCTAAGGGGCGGCACGTGGGGTCGACGGGGCCGACGGGGCCACTAAGGGGTGGGCGCGCGGGGCAAACGGGGCCGACGGGGCCTCTAATCGGGGCCAGCGGGGCCTCTAAGGGGCGGCGCGTGGGGTGGACGGGGCCTCTAAGGGGCGGCGCGCGGGTCGCTAAGAGGGGGCGGGTCGCGGGTCGCGGGGCCTTAGGGGGCCGTGAAAACGAGGCGCACGAGGGCGCTAGGGGGGAGGCGCTCGAGGGCGCTCCGACAGTAGGGCGCACGAGGGCGCTAGTAGGCAGCAGTAGTGGTGGGCCCTAGGAATCGGTCCTAGCGGAGGACCTGCTCTGATTCCATGTTATGAAGAAGAAGTGATTGCACTATGAAAGTTGGAGTACAAGTAGGAAACCCTAACTTTGTGTACCCCCTAAAGGCTAACCCACTATAGCCTACACAATAATAACACATATAGTGTTTGACAACTCGATGAGCAGGGGGTTATACTTCACAGTCTTCGCACCAAGCCCGTCGAGTTCTAGACGAAGTACCCTAGCGTACGGGAGAAGTCTGCTGCGTCGGTTGCCGCGCTTCTTCTGGAAAATCAGAAACGAATTCAGAAGGACTTCATCGCGTCTAAGGAGTTGGAGGTTTAGGAGATTTTGGCAGCTTCTAACTCGCATGTGACGACTCTGGCGACACAGCTTGAAGACTACCTGCAGAGCCTTTCAGCCAACCCTCACTTGGCGGTGTCTGACGCTACCAAGGAGAAGTACAGGAAGATCAAGGGTGCGTGCATCGAAAAGGCGCGGTCTGAGATAGTAGTCGCCAAGGATGAGATCATCATCCAGGAGTTGGATCGGCAGAAGAAACGTGAAGCTGAGGAATTGAAGAAAGCTGCCGCAGCTGAAGAATTGGACAGCATGGATACGGATCCGGCGATCAGCGAGATCGTTCAGAAGCACGTGAAGAAGGCCGAAGAAAAGCTACGCAAGGAATTCGCGGCGAAGCTGGACAAAGGCTTATCGACGGCGCTTCAGAAGGTCACGTTGGAGAGCAAGAACTCGGCGCCGGCCCCTGCTGCTGCTTCTACGCCACCGAACAAGAAGGCGAAGAAGAAGCGCGGGAAGAAAAAAAAAAGCTGACGCTCCGACGGACGGCAAGGAGAAGGGCCAGAACACTATCTCCTCGAAGAAGGCCTGGGTTCCAAAAAACGGAGGCGGCGGCCCCGCAAAAGGGCTGCCGAACAAGAAGTAACAGCGCACGACCTCGCGCTCCGCTGGTTCGGCGGCTTGACTGCTGGACAAGTGATGTCACGCGTGCGGAACAACGGGGTGCATAACCTGAGTGCTAAAACTCTTACCACTGATGAGCGGAGAGCACTCGGGATGGGTTTGAAGTTTGTGCCTACACCTACCAGGAATCCGTCAATCGAAGCAGATCTCGATCAACTGCATCGGCTGACTTCTCTTCATTTTTTCTTCAAGGAGAAGGGTGACCCGACGGAACCTGTACGCTTTCGTGTGCGGAATCCCAGTTGGAAACCTGATCGGGACGTGGTCCCGGAGTCGGTCTTCAGAGAGGCCCATTCGGACCTCTCTTTCTTGATGAAAGCGACAACGCCACGGCGCGGTTTCAACCTCCCGCTGGGTGTGCGCAAGGCGTTACGCTCCCTCGCCTCTGACCGCAGCATCGTGATTAAGCCAGCCAACAAGAATGTGGGTGTGACGGTGTTAGATCGGCAGCACTACATCAACCTCTGCATGGAACATCTCGGGGATGAAGCAGTGTACGAGCCGATCCTGCATGATCCAACGCCACAGGTCGTGAAGCAGCTGCAGTTTCTACAGACGACGTGGGGACCGGCTTTCTCCGACAGCCTTTGGAAGTATTTTTTCAAGGAACCGCCTTGAGGGTGGCGACCAACTGCTTTCTACGCACTGCCGAAGCTTCACAAGAAAGTTCCCGTGGGTCGACCGATCGCTGCCTCACACTCATGGGTGACTACTCCTGTGAGCAAATGGCTGGACGCAGAACTTCGCCCGCTGGTGCTCAACCGCCCAACCTACCTCCGGGACTCCCTCTCGCTGCTGACAACGCTGGAATGGGCTGCCTTTCCTACGACAGTTCTGCTCGTGACGTATGATGTCGCCGCGCTCTACCCCAGCATCTCGATTGAGCGCGGCCTTGATGCGGTCAACAGCTTTCTGATGAGGGAAAAACCACAGCTCGCCCCACCTCTTATAGCCATGCTGGGCTGGGTCATGAGGAATTCGTTCGTGGAATTCAACGGTTGGACCTATCATCAAGTGCGGGGAACAGCCATGGGGACACCTGTAGCTGTCTGCTTCGCGGTCCTGTTCATGAGCCGTCTGGACGAGCTTTTGAAGGAGAAGTGGACCGGGATATCTCCTCTTTACCATGCGCGCTACATCGACGACGGGTTAATCATTTGGCCAGGGACGCGGGTAGAATTGGAAGCCTACCTGCAAACCTTCAACGCGCTTGATCCTGACATTAGGATCACATGGTCAATCTCGGATCGCTCCATAGATTTCCTTGACGCTGATCTTTTCAAGGGGCCGCGTTTTAAGGAGCGGGGTACTTTAGATTTCGGCACGTACCAGAAGCCGATGAATAAGTATCTCTACCTTCCCTTCGCTTCCTTCCATCCACGGCACTGCAAGGAGTCTTTCATTCGCGCAGAGCTAAGACGTTACCTTCTTCGCTCAACCTCAGCGGCGACTTTCCTAGCAACGAAGCGGTCTTTCTTCCTCCGCCTTCGTGACCGTGGTTACCCGCCCGTGTTTCTGCACCCCATCTTCAAAAGTGTCATCTTCGCTCATCGTTCAAAACTTCTCGCCAACACCATCGCCAACCAAGCACTCCGCCTACAGACAACTCTCCCATCTCGTGGGCCCCTAGTCTTGAAGACTCAGTACACTCCTGTTACTGCACGTCTTGGGCTAGGGGTCCTTTTAAGTCGACTTAAAAATCGACTCATCACACGCGGGCTATATGTGGAGAGAATGCTTGTTGCGTGGAAAATTGGTTGTAACCTGCGGCGGTTACTGGTGCACGCGCGACTTCCGAAGTTGCCCCCTGGCGAAAATCTGAACCCAACCCTTCACGCTGACACTTTCGAGGAAGTTGAAGACGTGGCTGCCTGAAGTTTTCGAGGGTGGTCTGGATTGGTCCCCGTCATTTGGGTGACCTGGGTGTGGATAGCCTAGAGTTCGCTTTCTTAGAGGCCTTGCTTCTCTTTAGAGGCATTGCTTAGCCCTTTCTTTCTCATTGTTGGCACTGATGAAGACCTGATCGGGTTTTTCCCCCGTGATAGGCCGAAACATGTTTGTCCCTGTTTTACTCTACTGCTAAGAATTTGGGTTCTGAGATCGTTTTGAGCACTTAGTTGTATACAGAGCGGAAATCTACTGCTGTTTTTTACTTTTCTTAAGCCTACTGCACGCACGCAGCTCACTGAGCCATGTCCGGATCTTGCTTCACAGTGAAATCAGGAGGGCGATAAGGGAGAAAGGGAGGCCAATGGACCGGCGTGAAGATATGTGAAGGGGAATTGTAATTAGGAGGTGGAGGAGGAAGAGTTGGTGTGGGCTGGGAATGCGGAGGCTCTAGCAAAGGAGAGCTCGTGCTGCTGGGAATGCGGGTGGCTGCAGGGATGTTGGGGGCAGGTGGGATGTCAGACAGTGGAGGTACGTCAGAGGGAGGAGGCACGGTGTAGTGGGGGGGCATGTTGGAGGGGAGAAACTCCCTGGGAGGAGGACTGAGTCGACCGTATGAGGAGTGTTGGAAAGGGGAGAACTGGAGCAAGGGGGTTGAATGGCGGAGAAGCGAGGCAGGCTGACGAGGGTGATGCGCTGGAAAGAGCTCAAGTCCGGTGAGCCTGATGGGTGGAGCCAATAACTCTTTGCACTCTCATCCTCGGGGGAACGAGACGGCTGGTTGCGGTAACTCCTTGCACTCTCACTTTCAGGGGAGCGTGATGGCTGGTGCTGCCAGTAACACTCGCTACTATTAGGGGAAATTCACAGTTGGTGCTGCCAGTGGTAACCCCTGGCACTATCAGGGGACAAGAGTGGCTTTGGGTTAATCTGACCCCTCCTGCGCTCCACGACTGGGGGTGGGGCCAACAATGTTTGCTGCTGGAGGAACCTTTCAATGCCCCTTGGGCTTTCCCCTGAAATTTCCTGCTCCTGCTTCTCTGCAGCAGCAGCAGCAGCAGCACCACCACCACCACCACCACTGGTAGGGCCTGTGGATTGAGGCACGGAGGAGAGTGGCGCCTGTGCCAGGTGCTTCTGGACTCTTCCAATGCCCCTTGGGCTCTCCCCTGAAGCCTCTCGCTCCTGCTGCTGCCTCTTGGGCCCGTCACGAGTGCCAGCACCGATGGGTTGAGTGGATTGAGGCAAGGGGGAGAGTGGCGCCTGTGCCTGGCGCTGCTGGCTTGCTCTACTCTCTCCCAGCCCTGCTCCTGCCACCACCTGCCACTCTTTCTCTGCAGCAGCAACAGCACGAGTGCCAGCAGCAGCGGGGTGCGCAGATATAAGTAAAGGGGACAGCAGTGAAGACGCCGGGTACTGCTGGCTTGGTCCACACACACCTAGGATTTCCCCTGCCACCGACCCCTCCTGCTTCACTGTAGCAGCACGAGCACCGGGAATAGGCCCTGTGGAAAGCACGAGCCCCAAGGGGACCACACCCAGCCAGTCCTGTCTTTGGGGCGCCTCAAGAACAAGCTGCTGCTTCTCCCCATGAGCACTGGGAATAGGCCCTGCGGCAAGAACGAGCCCCAAGGGAACCGCACCCAGCCGGTCCTGCATTTGGGGCGCCTAAAAAGCAAGCTGCTGCGTCTCCACACTAGCACGAGCACCGGGAATAGTCTCTGTGCCACAGAGCCCCAAAGGATCGGCACCCAACCGCTCCCCCACCATGTCTGCAGTGTCCCTGAGGCGTTTCCGGGGGGATGGGACCTGCTGCTGCCATCTGTGAGAGGCGCTGTGTGTGCCAACTGCAGCGCCAACTGCAGCACCCGATTGCATAGCACTAGCATGCATGTCTCCTGCCCCTAGAACACCAGCTCCCAAGGATCCAATCCGCCAACCTCCACCACCAAAAGCTGCACCCCCCGAAGCTGCACCCCCCGAAGCTCCACCCCCCGAAGCTGCACCCCCCGAAGCTCCACCCCCCGAAGCTCCACCCCCTGAAGCTCCACCCCCCGAAGCTCCACCCCCCGAAGCTCCACCCCCCGAAGCTCCACCCCCCGAAGCTCCACCCCCCAAAGCTCCACCCCCCAAAGCTCCACCCCCCAAAGCTGCAGTCCCCAAAACTTGGTTCCGTGAAGCACCACCCACCAACGCCACACCTGCCAAAGCTCTACCCTGGAGGGATCTTCCTCCCGTGAGAGCATCTGGCCATTCGGTGCTGTCACTCCCCATCATGGCACTCCTGCCCCACATCAAGTTGCTCCGCATTCCACCGCTCCCCACACCACCACTTCCCGCAGCACCACTTTTCACAGCACTGCTTCCCACAGCACCGCTTCCCAAAGCATTGTTTACCGCATCAGCTAGAGTGTTGTTTGTCTCAGTGCCACTCCAACCTATCACAGAAGACCTAGCAGAAGGACCAGCCATGCCAGCACCAACACTCATACAATCCCCACCACCCACACCATCCCCACCACCCACACCATCCCCACCACCCACACCATCCCCACCACCCACACCATCCCCACCACCCACACCATCCCCACCACCCACACCATCCCCACCACCCACACCATCCCCACCACCCACACCATCCCCACCACCCACACCATCCCCACCACCCACACCATCCCCACCACCCACACCACCCATACCATCCCCACCAGTCATACCATCCCCACCACCCATACCATCCCCACCAGTCATACCATCCCCACCACCCATACCACCGAGCATTGTCAGAAGTCTTGCCTAGCAGTGTTAGTATTTATGGAGCACACTAACCCACACTAACCCTGTACATTATAACGATTTTTAGTAAACTGGTGGCATATTGTTGTTGCTATTAAACACGTACCTCTTGTATATGAGAGTTCACATGTATAGCTGATGACCAAGCTGCATTGTTTGGTCCGAGGCATGAGATTTCGTCTCCACCGGCTGTTTGAGCTGTTGCCCATTGTTTCAGCTGTTTTCCAGGTGGTTTTCCAGGTGGTTCTTCAGGTGGTTCTTCAGGTGGTTCTTCAGGTATCACAGTTGAGATCTACTCCCCAAAGCAGCACCGACGAAGGGCGAGACTCGCTAAAATCTGATAGCCCGTAGTCTTGGAGTGAAAGCCCTTCCTTTGATGTGTCACGCACTCCAGCTTCCGCTTTTCTCCCCCCTGCTACTGCTGCTGAATCTGCTGCTGCACTTGCAGGTGCCTCTGTGGCTGGACCTGCCACTCCTGCTGCAGCTCCTGTGTACTTCCAATCTTCTTCTTTTTCTCCTACTGCTCCTGCTGCTTCTGCTGCCCTTGCGACTCCTGCAGGTGCTGCTGCTGGTAACCCTGCAATTTGGCTGCTGGCGCCAGCAACTGAAGCCTCAGACATAAGCAGCCCTACAGGACGAACCCCCCATTGGTTCTCCTCAGCCAACCTCGCTGGTATTTCATCTGTACTCGTTATAAGCCCATCGCGCAATGGTTCTTGCTTTACGGTGAAATTAGGAGGGCGATGAGGGGGAAAGGAAGGCCAATGGACCGGTGTGAAAATATGGGAAGAGGAATTGTAACGAGGAGGAGGACAAGCAGGTGGGGGCAGGGATTGCAGAGCCTCAGGACAAGGAGGAGAGCTCGTGCTGCTGGGTGCTGCTGCAATGTTGGGCGCAGGTGGAATGTCCGAGAGAGGTGGGATGTGATAGAGAGGAGGCATAATGGACCGGGGAGGCGTGGTGGAGGGGGGAGAACTGGAGGGAGGAGGATGAGTATGAATGACAGAGCGATGCGGGCTTACGAGGGTGATACGCTGGAAAGAGCTCAAGTCAGGCGAACACGAAGGTTGATGCTGGTAACTCTTTGCCCTCTCAGGTGAACAGGACGGCTGGTGCAGGTGGTGAGTGTTTGCATTCTCAGGGGAAAGCGATGGCTGGCTCTCCCAGCGGCGACTCGTCGCATGCCCAGGGTCAAGGGACAGCAGTGGCACTGGGTGGCAGTGACCTCCCCTCGCATGCCCAAGGGCTGACTGCTGGTGCTGGAGGAATCTATTAGTGTCTTGCAGGCTATCCCGTAAAGCTTCTCGCTCCTGCTTCTCTGCAGCAGCAGCAGCAGCAGCAGGAGTGCCACGACTGGCAGGGACTGCGGATAGAAGCCAGGGGGGCAGCTGTGCTGGTGGCTGTTGCTGCTGGCTCGGTCCATTCTCTCCCAGCCCTCCTGCCAAGGCCCACCCCTGCTGCTCTGCAGCACCGGCCTCACGAGAAGTGCAAGGAATCTCCGCGGCACGAAGCCCAAAGGGAACCTCAACCAGCCCGTCCTGCTTCTGGCGCACCTCGAAAACAGGCTCCTGCTTCCCTGCCCCAGCACGGGCACTGGGAATAGGCTCTGCAACACGAAGCCCCAAGGGAAGCGCACCTAGCTGGTCCTGTTGTTGAGGTACCTCGAAAACAGGCTCCTGTTGTTGAGGTACCTCGAAAACAGGCTCCTGTTGTTGAGGTACCTCGAAAACAGGCTCCTGTTGTTGAGGTACCTCGAAAACAGGCTCCTGTTGTTGAGGTGCCTCACGAAGAAGCTGCTGCTTCTCTGCACCAGCACGGGCACTGGGAATAGGCTCTGCAGCACGAAGCCCCAAGCGGGCCTCACCCAGCCAGTCCTCCACCATACCTGCAGCGTCTCTGGGGCGTTTCCTTGGAGAAGGTATCTGCTGCCATGCACGAGCGGTGCTGCGTGCACCAACAGCAGCGCCAGCCTGCAATCCTGTCTGCACAGCGCCAGCCTGCAATCCTGTCTGCACAGCGCCAGCCTGCAATCCTGTCTGCACAGCGCCAGCCTGCAATCCTGTCTGCACCGCGCCAGCCGGCAGAGCACTGGATTGCACAGCTTCAGCACGCAAGTCTTTCCCCCCCATAGCCCCTGCTCCCACCAATCCACTCCGCAACGCTCCACTCTTCAAAACTCCACCCCCCCAAGCTCCACGCGAGAGTGCCCTACCCCCCATGACTGCATCTCCCCATTCGGTGCTGTCACTCCCCTTATTGGCAGTCCTGTCCCACATCAAGTTGCTCCTTATTCCACCGCTCCCCACTCCATCTCGTCGCACTCCATCACTTCCCACACCACCACTTCCCACACCACCGCTTCCCACAGCTCCGGTTGCCGCATTAGCTAGAGTGTTGTTCATCTCAGTGCCACTCCAACATAAAACAGGAAACCTAGCAGAATGACCAGCCATGCCAGCACCAACACTCATACAAACCCCACCACCCATACCATCCCCTCCATCCATACCATCCCCACCATCCATACCATCCCCACCACCCAACCCATCCCCACCACCCATGCCATCCCCACCACCCATACCATGCATGCCAACACCACTCATCGCAGCCACACAAGGCACGTCAGCACGGCCATCATTACACTCTCCTCCCCCCACACTCGCACGTCTCCTCAAGGCAAACCCCTGTGAATCATCATTGCCCATCTCTGTGGAATCACCCAGAGGTTGACCCATACGAGAACGCAAAAGGGGGTGCTTTACATGCTGCTGCTGCTGCTGCTGCTCATGAGATGCAACATTAGAACCACCAGCCATGCCAGCACCAACACCCATACCACCCATAACATCCCCATCACCCATACCAACCATAACATCCCCACCACCCACACCACCCATACCACCCATACCATTCCCACCACCAACATCACTCGTGCCAGCCACACCAGCACGGCCATCATCACACAGTCCTCCCCCCACACTCGCACTTCTCCTCATAAAACCTCTTCGTAATTCATTGAATAACTGTTGCTGCTGCTGGTGCCTTTGCTGCTGCAGAAGCTGCTGAAGCTGCTGCTGCTGCTGCTGCTGCTGCTGCTGCTGCTGCTGCTGCTGCTGCTGCTGCTGCTGCTGTTCATGACATGCTCCACGGCCCTGGGAGATCTTCTGGGATTTCACCTGCGCCAGAAGCGCGAGCAGAACCGCCTGTGGAATCTCCTGACCCCGAGGCTGTAAGGCTGGTATGTCACTCCGCTCCAAAAGATGAGCCGGCTCGGAAGGCAACTGTGTTTGAACGAGCTGTTCCAAACCTGCATTACTGGAAGGATTGGAAGAAACGGACGGCTGAGATGCGAGTAGATCCAGTAGAGATTTCAGGAGGTCGGAGCGAAGGGGCATGTGGGGGGAATGGGTGGACGACGGAGAAGATATGGAAGGGGCTTGGCGCGCAGTAGCAGCAGCTGCTAATAGCTGATGGTATTGTTGAGTGGTCGCACCTGCTAATAACTGCTGTGACTGTTGAGTAGTGGCAGCTGTGATATGGGACGACTTTTGAGTCGACGCAACAGTCACCCCAGCGGCAGCAGCTGCTAATAGCTGTTCGTATTGTTGAATAGCAGCAGTAGCGTTTTGATACATCTCAGAACCTGCTACTGGCTGTTGGAGGCGCTGGGCGGCAGCAGTTGTCCATTGTGACGCCAAGGAGAGGAGACGGGCGGCAAGGATGGTGGAGGGTGCGACTGATGCAAGCCGTGCGATGAGTGATTCAGCATTTGGCATTGATAGTGGGAGTGTGGTGCGCGCGTTTGGTGCAAGCTGGGCGATGAGTGAGTCTGATAGTGGGAGTGTGGAAAGAGCGTTTTGAGAAATGCCAGCTTGTGTGGTGAGATTCCGAGGAGAAACGTAAGCAGAGCTGGTTGGGTCTTGTTGCCTGTCACCTGCAATTGCAGGGCTGGGAGCAGGAACGAGTGCTGGATCTCGCTTTACAGTCACATCCACTGCTGCTCCCGAGTGTTCTTGTGCTGAGAGTTGTCCGCACTGGAAAGCTTCCTCACTGCCTCTGGGTCTACAGGGTTCCGTGCTGACTACTGCCTGCCTCTCGCCTTCGCCTTCCAACCCTCCCCACCCTCTCCCAAACCTCTCCCCTCTCCTGCCTCTGGGTTCAGTGCTGACGACTGCTTGCCTCACCCCTCCCAACCCTTTCCACCCTGCCCCGAACCTCTCCCCTCCCACCGCTCCCCACCCTGTTCCAAACCTACCAACTCCTGCTTCTCCCACGTTCCCCGCCCCTCCCACTGCTCGTTCCTCAGCAGCTGTTATGTTTCCAAATGTGGTCTGCTGGCCTACCCTTCTAGCAGCAGCCGCCGCAGCAGCTACAGCAGCCGCTACTAAAAGTGCTCCCTCTCCCTCTCCCCCTCCCCCTCCTCCTCCACCACCACCACCATCACCACCTCCTCTTCCTCCTCCTCTTCCTCCTCCTCCTCCTCCTCCTCCTCCTCCTCCTCCTCCTCCTCCTCCTCCTCCTCCTCCTCCTCCTCCTCCTCCTCCTCTGTCCGCTTTCCCTGCTGCCAGTGCCGCCACTGCACCGGATGAAAGCACCGGATGAAGAGCCAGGGCATCCTCTTTTCTCACCTTCTTACTACACAGGCCCTCACCAGCACCCGCCACTGCTGCTGCTGAAGGCACCTGATCAAGCACCAAGGCACGCTCTCCTCTCTGCTTCTTACTGCACCGCCCCTCATCAGCAGCTGGGGCAAACAAAGCAGCGTCAGCACCACCACCAGCGGTTCGCGTTCCCAACAGTGCAGTGTCAGTAGTGCCAATTGCGGCAGCAGTGACTGAAAGCGGAGCAGAGTGGATCGTACAATCCCTGCCTGAACGTGCAGCAGCGAGGGTCGTTTTACCAGTGCCGGAATGGGCAGCAGCACCAACAACACGAGCAGTAGCCGTAGGGGCAGAAGGAGCAGTAATATCAGCGGCAGCGTCAGCGGCATTGGCGGCATTAGCTGCCAGCACAGCAGACTCCGTGGCATGGGAGCATCGCCACTTGTCGCGCCGGTGTTGGTCGAGAGCCGCGGCAGTTGGGAAGCTTTGCTTACATAACGTGCAGTAGTGAGGGCCCTGGCCGTCTGAACGCAACCACTTAGCTAAAAGCCGGCTCATTTGAGGGGTCAGGGATGGGGACTGGGAGGAGGAGGGGGCGGAAGAGGAGGGGGGAAAGGGAGGTGGGGGAAGAGGAGGGACAGAGGGGAGAGGGGCGGATGTGGAGGAAAAAGGGGCGGAGGAGGAGGGGGAGAGGACGAGAGGGGCGGAGGGGGAGGGGGAAAGGGGGAGAGTGGCGGTGGTTGCAGCAGTGGTGGTAGCTGTAGTTGCAGCAGCGGAGGCAGCATTTCTAGCTACAGTTCCGCCGGCAGCTGGTGTGCAAATCTTTTTCCTTGCTGAGATTGCAGGAGTTCCAACCGCAGCGCGAGACAAGCTGCCTGCCGATCTTCTTGAGCCCGAGAAATCAGGTGCTGCCACGTGTCGTGCACGCTTCTGTGGGGACATCATTGCCGTGTCATCACCACCAGTGAGACTCTTAGTGCTGTGGACAGCGGCGCCCCTCGACTTTGGATTAACCTCCATAGGCTTGGCCTGAGCCGGCTCACGCCCCCGAACCTGAGCGGAATCACACCCCCGAGCCTGAGCCAACTCAAGACCCCGAACCTGAGTCGATTCAAGCCCCCGAGCCTGAGCCAACTCAAGACCCCGAACCTGAGCCGATTCAAGCCCCTGAGCCTGAGCCAACGCAAACCCCGGAACGTGTGTGAACTTAGGACCCTTACCCTGGGTCATTTGAAATTCCCCAGCCTGCACTGAATTCTGAGAGCCTGCAAAGGCACGAGGGTAAGCAGACTGCAAGGCATCATGTATCGGGGACCTCCCTGCTTCCTTCACAACCGTTGTGATCCTCAAAATTCCTGCAGCAGCTGCAGCAGCTGCAGCAGCAGCACTCGCAGCACCTGCAGGCACGGCAGGCTCAGGCAGGCCCATCAACAACCGTCTTGCAGTATCCACAGCGTCTTGAAGAGCAACACCCGTAGGATGTTGCTCTCCTCTGTCTCTGGCAGCAGCCTGCGGCGGCGCAGCAACCCATCGGGAGCAAGCTTTACTTGGTAGGATCCCTGAAGCTGACGCTGACACAGCAGAAACAGCAGTATCCCTAACGCCACTGCCGCTGGTCGCAAGAGGGCCAGCAGCCGCGGCAGCATCGGCTGGGACGGCGCATGGTGATTTCAGACCGCTAGAAGCTTGGGGTTCTGCTGATGTTGCTCCGGTGGTATTCCACCAAGAATTCCCGCCGAGGCCCGTGCTTGGCGCTGGGGTGCTATGAGCTGGGGTGCTTGGCGTTGGGGTGCTTGGCGTGGGGGTGCTTTGGAAAGCAGCACGGTTTGCGTTGAATGATGTGGGTGACTGGGGTGAGGGAATAGCCATGGCTCCGTGGAGTTCCCAGAGACAAACAGAAGCAGCAGGAGCAGCTGTGGCAGTCGCCGCCGCATCAGGAGAAGCAGCAGGATGTGCAGCAGCAGATTCTTTCATTCCGGCACTGGCGGCAGCAGTGGTAGTAAGGTTCCGAGCAGCAGCACATGCAACCATGGAAGCTTCCACACGTGACATCCACTCTCCAAGGCGCAAAGCCTCCTCGAACGGACCACAAGAGAGCACCATGTGGTCATTTTTGCGGGCTTTTGCCCGTAATCCTGCTGCTGCTGCTGCTGCTGCTGCTGCTGCTGCTGCTGCTGCTGCTGCTGCTACGCCTGGCGCTGCCGCTCCTACCGCTGCCGCTCCGTGATCCTGACCCTCAGGTCCGTTTCCCCCTTCGTCTTGACCGCCGATTTCAAGATTCAGGTCTAGAAAGGGTCTATCTTGCCTCATGAACGGCCCTGATTGCCCGTTACCTTCCTCCAGCTCCTCCTCCCCCTCCTCCCCCTTCCCCTCCCCCCCCCCTCCCCTCCCTTCACCTTCCCAGACGAGCCGAACAAGGAGTAGAGGAGCCTTGAACCATCTCGTGACATGGCGTGCTTTACCGTGCGGTAGGTCTCTATATTCGCATCATCGAACGTTCCCATAAAGTGGTGATCCCGCGTCAGCCGCACATATTTAGGACACTTTTAGTAAATGCTCTTCATTTGGGAAAAAAAAAAAAAAGAGGAAGCAGAAAGAACGAAAGAAGGGAAAAACGTCGCCTCATATGTGAGAGCTTTACTCCTGTACGATAAGAAATAAAAGCTACTCTTTCTTGCTCATCAGATCCCTTGTCTGCAGTTATGGAGCCTTTACTATCAGACAACTCTCGTTTACGCATAGTAGTTGAGGCGTTTCATCGTGAAACAAATATGAGGTGCGATCTGTTAAGAGAGTCACCACAGTTGAAGCATGCAGAGAAACAAAAGAGATAAAAGGAGAGAAAATAAGCTGTATGGTCCCAGAAGCTGCACAATATTACGACGAAACAGCTGTCACAGCAAAAGTGACGCCTTGCCGACTTCGTTTCGGAAAAGAATGATAGTTCTTTTGCTGTCAAAAGCTGCAGCTTATACTATGTCAACAGCTCCTTGGAAAGAACAATATCTACTGCCAATGGAGCTAGCCAAATGCACCGCTGACAGCAGACTATGTCAACAAGTGCTTGGAGAAAACAAAGCTGACAGCAGAAAGCCAGACATGCCTGGTGTTGTAGGATTTGAGCAAACTCTGAGTGGATTTAGGCAGTGTAAGGAATCGACAGCCAGTGACGCGGGGATCCAGCTAAAAATCCTTACGAAACAACAATACAGGTGTAAGTTAGAATAATGTTACAGCTCTCAGTGCGGCGGACAGTGTCACACAATTTTTGTCACGCTACTGTAGCTCCGGTGAGCTTGCTGCCAGCTCAGGCTCATTTGAGTCAACCCACAAAATAGAGAGGGCGTCTGCAGCAGCAGCACAACCGCCCACCGTGTCAGACTGGGGATCAAATCGTGTTTTGCAAAACGCCCAAGATAATGGACAGCAACTGCTGGCACGCCATAAAGAAGTGGCGTGGGGTACCTCTGGGATTACAGCCCGTACAGCACCGCACCAATGGGCTTGCGCCTTAGCACACTCGGAGCTTGTTGCTGGCTTGGATCACCTGTGGTGATCCTTCTCGGTTTGTGATGTGGGATGTGTACGACGGCGAAGCAAGTCTCCACCGCCAGGAGGAGGAACGGTTGGATCGATCGGACAGCGAGGGTAGAAGGTGTCTCATGTGACTAGTCCACCCCGAACCGGTCCGTTGCCAAAATGTGTACGCCTGGTCGGGAATTCTGGTCCGACGGACCAGCCCGCGGACCAGGCGTGGACCAGACACGGACTGGTCCACATGATACGTCGCGTCATTGGCTGTGAGGATTTTACGAAAAGCATTCCAAAATCGAGTTACCTTTCTCTGTGCGAGGTAAATGTTTCCATGCAGTAGATCGCGTAATAACGAAATTAGAGAATTGCAGCTCAAGCTGGGACCAGCCACGGACTGGTCCGCCAACCACATCACTGCTGTAACGGGGTTAGAGTACCCGCATCCCGGTCCGGTCCGTCGCTGGTTCAAGTGCTGGTTCTAGACCTGGTCGGTCGGGTCCGCGTCGGAACCACGTGGACTCGCTCATTTAAGACACGTCCTAAAATGTTTGAGGAAGTGGAGCTCGTATTGGCTGGGGTGGTGATGAAATCTGCCCTAGAAGGGATGTGGTCGGTTGGGAGAGATCGAATTCGAATCGAACAAGAAACGCGTCAAGGTGATGCATGCCACATGCCCAATTCCCAACAAGGTTCGCCCCCCACTACGTGGCGGTGCAGTTTCTCGAACTTTTCTGAAATCTCAATAAAGATTCCTTTGTCGTGAGTAAGGACGTGGTCCCAATCGACTTTGATCGACTCGATCAAAGGCAATATGACTTCCAGGAAGGCGGGAATCCAATATCAGGCAATCAGGGACAATCAGCTGATCGCGATCAGCTGATCGCTCCGACTCGATCAACCGCCTCAAACAACCCGATCAATCACGATCAGTCACTTGATTGCATGTGATCGGGGGCCTGGACGATGTTCGCGACACATTAGACAGTCGACTAGAGGTGTCGAAAATCTTTCGCTCATACCTACGGACTGGCGAGAAAATTATGCCAAGTTTTTAGACCGACATTGTCTGCATTGCGATGTTAACGACGCTACCACATTGCGTTCGCCAGTCTCGCCAAAGTTGGAAAGAAAATACCAGGTAAATGTGTTACACTTGTCATGCAAGCTCATCGAGTTTCCGAGGAAAATCAGCTTTGATCGAGCGGCGCGGGAAAAGCGATCACAAGCAATTCTAGCCGATCCGACCCGAATCAATCCGATCCGATTCAAGAACTAATTATTGTAAACATTCTTCTAGTGTGCGGTCTAGGTGTCAAGTGCACATCACATTGCCAGCTCAGGTTGTGATGAGAATCAGCCCTACAAGACCAGAGGGGGTGTCTGCTGCAGCAACAGCTTTTGGGATAGAAATCGGATTTCAAAGCCTTCACGGTGGGCACTGGAGCTGGAAGTGGGCTGCATCTGCGACATGCCGTACAAAGACAAGGTGAAGCACGGTACCACGTGGTTCCATGCGTTTCCTATGACTTCGTTGGTGCAGCACACACCTGCAGTACCTTTTTGGTTTCCCAGGATTCCACGGCGGCGGGTGAAAGAAGGAATCGACGACGGTGAAGTGGGTCACAGGCAGAACACGGAAACGAAATACAATTGATGCCCGTTTGAGCCCCTCCCGGTTGCCTTGTGAAGGGGGTCTGTAAGCTACACTAACATTTCGTGGGGTGTTCGTATGTTTCGTTACACCTTATATGTGCATCAAAGCAGAAATTGGTAACCACCCATTTTGTCTGTTTCGTAACAGTAACAGTTGGCACTCCTTGTCATAAGTGTGTGTTTCTGGTTACCTTACTATTGCAAGAACAATCTACCCTTCATCCTCATCAAATGTTCAACTTAGTCAAAAACATACAATCCACTCGAACCACCAATGGGACGCACCCACTTGGCCCCCCATGTCAAATGTGAGCATCGATCGAATCACTCACAAATGTTCACAAGGAATGAACACTCGAGCACATCAAAGAGCCTTCGGCTCCTTCACCGGGGGGGGGGGGGTAAATTTCACTCACAGACGCATCCACTCCGCCGCGTCTGTGTACCCGCCCATCACGGCGCCAACACCGGCGTCCAGCAGCTGCTGACGGCGGGAAGGCTGGGTCATCCAGCCAGGCAGCACTCGGCCGCGCGGACGCGGGGTGTCGGGCGTGGGTGTTGCGCCTAGCGTGCGCGCAGCCGGCAGGGTCACGTTCAGATTAATGGGCGGGCTCGCCCGCTCCATTCGCGCGATGATGACCGGGTTGTGGATGTTGAAAAGGTGGCACATGTCGCGCGGTTGGATGCTGATGGCGCGCGCATAGCCAATGAACATCTCGCACGCCGCCCGAGCCGTGCGCCGCGCTTCACGGCCCACGGGGTCGGCATCCTCATACACGGCCTGCATGGTGGTGGGCGCCTCCCACATTTCCACCACCATGCCCGCACCCGGCTCATTCGGCGTTAGATCCGCTGCGTGCTCGGCGCACGTCGGCTCACCGTCGCCGATGGCGACGTACTCAGCCGCGGACATCGCCCCATGCCCGAGACGAAGCCCAGAGATGAGAGTCCCGACGTCGCCTATCTCATCATCAAGCTCGATGTCGGGATAGGCGGACGGGGTGGGCTCATCGTCATGCACGTGCGGCAGCTCCATGGCCCACGAACACGGGAGGCACCCCGTGCGCCACCAACACCGCTAGATGGTGCACGGACCGACGCCGGTCCACGCGTCCGAGAGCCACGCCAGCACGTCGCGCAGGTTCGGGCGAAACCGCGCGGCGGCGCTTGTGGCCCCGTCCGCGTTCCACAGAGCCGTGAAGGCCCGCAACCAGTGCTGGCGGTAGCGCGCCTTGGCGGTTGCAATAATCCCCTGGTCAAGGGGCTGGTTGAAGGCCGTCGTGTTAGGCGGCAGGAAGACCAGGCGTACGTTGCTCATGCAGGTCGTGCGCATGCCGCACACGATTTCGCTCCATGCAAACTCGCTCCTGAGCATGTGCGAGCTTGCGTTGTCGAGCAGAATGATGATGTGGCGGCCCTCAGCATACATGGCCGCATTGAGCTGTGAAATGAAGTGTGTGAACAGCTGTGGGAGGGAAGGGGAGGGATCGGGATGGCCGCATGTGTGGAAATGCACATATGCGTATAGTTAAGTCACAGGGCGCGCGAATAGTTTTCATTGCGTCGTGTTAAACAAGAAGTGATTGACCACCGACACGAACAGAAAGTGCCACACAAACTCGCCTGCGTCGTCATCCATCCTTTGGCGTTGTTACGCCAGTAGCAAAGCGTTTCAGGGTCGTAGTCCGGGCGAAAATCATGCGGGCGCCTTGCCTTAGAGAGGACCAAGGGGCGGAACGCATGGCTCCCGTCGGCCTTGACGAGAAACGCAGCGGTAAGGCGTTCCTTCGACACCTTCCGCCCTGGAATACGGCCGTTGCTGTAAGTACGCCGCAGGAGCACAGACAGCCACAACGCGGTTTCGTCGAGGTTGTACATGTCGCGCGGACGGGCTGAGAGATGCATGAGAAGCCGCGGAAGCCTCTCCTGGTAGTCGCGCACTGCGGCATGGTCCACGCTGGCCGCCTCGCCGACCGATGCACGGCACCTCACCCCCTGGCGCCGCAACGCACGCCGCACCCATCTGATGTAGCATCGAAATGTGGCCGGAATGCCCATGTTACGAGCCATGGTCGCGACGTGGTCGCGGATGGTTTGCAGCGTCAACGGGACGCCGGCGGGCCCTGCGTTAGAGATCCACCTTGCCATGGCCTGCTCCAGCTCAGGCCATGCGCCTCCCCGTCGGCGGATTGGGTTGTCGCCCGTCTCGACCACAACCCAGCGGTTCGCGCTTTTCAAGATGCGGCCGATGGTAGAGCAGTCCGAGCGAAGGCGATACTGGGAGTAGCACCACCTCGCCAAGTCAACGTGTGATAATTGAAACGAGAATGAATCAACTATGAAAGAGTTGGGTACAAGTACTAACCCTAATTGGGTTGTACCCCTTATGGGCTACCCCACTATAGCCTGCACAATATGCATAAGCTATAATGTTCTGACACACCCCCATAGGCAAAGTGGGGGAGAACAAGGGGTCACAAGACCAGTCAAGCAAAGCAAAGCAAAGCAAGCTCAGGGTGGATCACAAAGTCACCACACATTCCAAGCACAAGTTCAAGGCCACAAGGCCAGTTCACATGCACGAGTACATACAAATAAAAGGCTAGACAAGCAAGAGCAGGTGTATATATAAATATGTAACACTACAAGCAAGGTCAAGAGGTGAGCAAGTGAGGCAAGGTGGGCACAAGGCCCAGCTGAGTACACAAGCGCTGATGGTCACAAGGCGCAAGTGCCTTGGTGAAGATATCAGCAGTGTAGGCCTCAACGGCCACGTACGCAAGACGCAGCTGACCACGCTGCTGCAGCTCACGAGCAAGAAAGTAGCGGAGACCAATGTGCTTCGTTCTGTGCTCCAGTCGCTGCTCCCAACACAAGGCCAGCATGGCCTTGTTGTCTACGTACAGCACTGGAGGAGAACGAGGCGGCTCTCCGAGGTCAGTCTGTGAAATAAATGAGCAGGAATGAAATGACTAAGTCAGGGTTGGGTACAAATACAACCCTAGAAAGCTGTACCCCATATGTGCTACCCCACTAAAGCCTACAAACATGCATCAGCTATAATGATCTGACACACCCCCATAGGCAAAGTGGGGGAGAACAAGGGGTCACAAGACCAGTCAAGCAAAGCAAAGCAAAGCAAGCTCAGGGTGGATCACAAAGTCACCACACAGTCCGAGCACAAAAGCAGGGCCAGAGGCCAGTTCACATGCAGGAGTACTGACATATACATAAAACTAGACAAGCAGGAGCAGGTATATATATATATGTCACAGAACAAGTAAAGTCAAGAAGAGAGCAAGTGAGGCAAGACAGGCACAAGACCAAGCTGGGTGCAGAAGCGCTGATGGTCACAAGGCGCGAGTGCCTTGGTGAACACATCAGCAGTGTTGGCCTCAGAGGCCACGTACGCAAGTCGCAACTGACCACGCTGCTGCAGCTCACGAGCAAGGAAGTAGCGGAGAGCAATGTGCTTCGTTCTGTGCTCCAAGCGCTGCTCTCGACACAAGGCCAGCATGGCCTTGTTGTCTACGTACAGCACTGGAGGAGAACGAGGCGGCTCTCCAAGGTCAGTCAGCAGGTAGGTGAGCCACCGAAGCTCCTGTGCAGCCATGGCCCCGGCGTAGATCTCAGCCTCACAACTGGAGCTGAGAACCGAAGACGAACGAGTAGACCGCCACGAGACAGAGCCGGAACAAAGACTGAAGGTGTAACCCTGTGACGACCGCTGCGTAGCCTGGTCGTCAGCCCAAGAAGCGTCCGCGTGGCCTGTAAGGACCACTGGACTCCGCCCTCCAAGCACTAGCCCCATGCCCGACGTACTGCACAGGTAGCGCAATACCCTCTTCGCTGCAGCCATGTGCTCTGGTCGGTGTCTCCCAGGAGCAACATAGCGTGCAAGAATGCTCAGAGGGTATGCAAGGTCAGGTCGAGTGCAGGTCATCAGGTACATGAGGCAGCCAACAAGCTCTGGGTACGGGCCACTCGACTCTACGGACTCATCCGAAGGCAGAGCTGAGAGTGAGTGGCGAGTAGACAGAGGAGTGGCCTGAGGCGAGGAGTACGTGAAGCCGAAGCGCTGAAGGACCTGCTGCACCATGTGTGACTAAGTCAAGGTGATGGTGCGGCGTGCTCTGTCCCGAGTGATCTGCAAGCCAAGGTAGCTGCGCAGTTCACCCAGGTCTGTGCACGTGTGTCTCTTCAGCAGCTCGGACTTCACGTAGGCGAGTCCAGCAGTGTCCGCTGTGGCAAAGACCAAGTCGTCGACGTACACGAGGATGTAGAATGGCGGCAGTGAAGTGTCGGTGCGCAGAAACAGCGACGGGTCAGCAGTAGAGGGAGCAAACCCAAGAGCCGGCTTACAGAGTAGTTCCCATCTCAGAAAAACCTGGACAGTCTGCTGAGGCGCCTTGCGAAAGTACCCTTGAGGTGGTATCGGATGACGATGAAGAGCCCGTTGATCTTAAGGCTGAAGTATGCATTCTGGCACGGAAACACGGGCTTACGAATGGGGCCATTACTGACCTTATAGATCTCTTCAGGATCCCGGGCATTAGTGTTGAACAGTTAGAAGGCTGGACGACTTACAGGGACCTTGAGAAGTACGAAAGCAGCTTCGAGTTGGGGCCGGTCCCAGTGAAGCCAGGTGGACGGCGCAGCCAGATCTCCTCGTGCAGGCTACCCCGCAGAAACGCAGTGCTGAAGTCGAGAGAGTGAAGCTCGTAGTCACGCTGAGCGGCTATGTGCAGCAGCACCCGAAGAGTGGTCATCTTCGGGGTGGGAGAGAAGGTCTGAAAGTAGTCAACTCCCTGCCGCTGGCTGAAGCCACGAGCAACGTACCGCGCCTTGAAGACAGGTGGAGAGCCCGGCGGCCGCTTCACCCGGAAGATCCACATGCCACTGACGATGTTCGCCCCAGGAGGGGGAACTGCGTCAACGTAGGTGCCTGTGGACTTCCAGGAAGCCATCTCTGCATCCATAGCTGCCTGCCACTGAGAGGAGTAGGGACCCTCTACGGCCTACGCGTAAGAACGCGGAGCCGGGATGTCTAGTGCATCCGGGTCTCCCTCAGGAGCAAGCAGTACAGAGGCGAGATGAGGTGAAGCAGCAGCCAGACACTGTAACTCCTCCTGCCTGTCCTCTAGGACGTCCGTGCCAAGAGCACACTCACCCCCGACGGACGGAGGACAGACAGACGCAGACTCAGCAACAAGACTAGCAGCGTAGTCTAGACGACAGCGAGCAGCAAAGTCGACGAGCTCAGTGACAATAGCAGACGCAGCAGTGGACTCAAACGAGGGGTCAGTGACGACAGTAGCAAGCAGACGCGTGACAGCAGGACTGGCAGCACGAAGAGAGTCCGACTCAGGGTCGGCAAGCGCAGGAAGAAAGGAATCAGGAGGAGAAGGCAAAGGGGCACGCAGAGGAGCAGTGGACGGACGCAGAGACATCCGGTGCGTGCCAGGGACAGGAGGAGGACGCTGACGCGAACCGCGACCACTAGCGCAAGCAGTACGAACAGGCGACGCGGGACGAGACGCAGGCTCACGACGCTCAGTAAGACCACCAGTAGGACCAGTGTAAGGAGAGGGAGCAGGCAGAGGAGAGGAAGGCTCCAACAGTGACTGCGACTGGACAGGCTGCGGACACTCTACCGGAGGAGAAAGACCAAGAACCTGCTGCAGGAGCGGAACGAAGTACGGCCGAGGCCGCACGGCAGCTCCAGACTCAGCAGGGACAGCACCAGCACCCTCAGCGACAGTACCAGTGCCACCAACACCTCCAGTGGCAGGACCTCCAGCAGTACCAGCAGCAGAACCACCGCGAGGACAGACAGCAGTGGTCTCAGCACCAACCACCTCAGCAGCTCCAGCTGCAGGAGGACCCGCAGGCCCAGCAGCTCCGGGACCGGCAGCACCAGCACCCTCGATTGTCGAAGAAGCTCCAGCTTCAGCAGCACGCCTCCAGCGGCGAGCAAACCACTCGCGCAGCTCCTGTGGAGAGAGGGGCTCCCGTCGAGACGCAGCAGCAAGAGAAACCCCAGGCTCAGCACCCCCAGGCTCAGCAGCTCCCAACTCAGCACCCCCCGGCTCAGCAGCTCCAGGCACAGCACCCCCCGGCTCAGCACCCTCCGCAGTAGTACCCCCAGGCTCAGCAGCTCCCAACTCAGCACCCCCAGGCTCAGCAGCTCCAGGCACAGCACCCCCCGGCTCAGCACCCTCCGCAGTAGTACCCCCAGGCCCAGCACCCCCAGGCTCAGCACCCCGAGAGTCAGCACCCCCAGGCTCAGCACCCGCAGCAGCACCAGAGTCACCAGTAACCTCGACCAGGTCAACTGCGTCTACCTGGGACACACCTGAGGGGGCAGGAACCTGAGGGGGGAGGGGGTCTACCGGGGGGGGAACCGGCACAAGGAAGTCCGGCGAAGGGGGGAGGGAAGGAGTGCGGTAGGGGAAGAGGCGGTAGAAGGGGACTGACTCGTCGAACGTGACGTCCTGGGAGGACAGAACACGGCGAGAGGTGGGGTGGTAGAACTGCCACCCTGGTGCGTCAGGGGGGAAACCCAGGAAGACGCAGGGAGCAGCACGAGGGGACAGCTTGTCCGCAGACAAGTCGCGGACAAACGCCCGAGATCCCCAGACACGGAACGCAGACGCATCGCCAACCTTTCCCGTCCACAGCAAAGCTGGGGAGGTCTCCGGCATGGAGACCCGGGGGTGAAGATTGATCTGATGCGCCGCGTATCGGACCGCAAACGGCCACAAAAAATGGGGGGCAGCCGCATGCATCATGGACGTACGGGCGACGTCCATGACCATGCCAATGCGGCGCTCAGCAATCCCATTTTGCTGTGGAGAGTCCGGAAGCGTGAAGGTCTGGCGGATGCCTCGTGCACTACAGTAGGCTCGCAGAAGGCCAGAGGAGAACTCTCCTGTGAGCCAGTGAAGCTCCTGTGCAGCCATGGCTCCTGCGTAGATCTCACCCTCACAACTGGAGCTGAGAACAGAAGACGAGCGAGTAGCCGGCCACGAAACAGAGCCGGAACCAAGGCTGGAGGT